AATGAAGATGCCATGTCCATAAATAGGCATTTGGCAAATCACCACATTGTGTGCTTACTTGAACGGTTCACTCAAATGTCTCACAAAAGGACACTGTGAACTACCATTCACAACACATCTATGCTGTTATTCTGTACTTAAATGACACATCCTTAAACTGTTCATTTATTCAAATTTAATGGACATAAGATAACGCTGAAGTTAACACATAGATTAGTGTATAAAGACAATCATCACCCTTTTCGGTTTTCATTAGTGCCCCATGCAAATGAAGTAGTATTATGAGTGACCCTACTGCTGCATAAACCGCTCTGCCACTAAATGAAGCTGTAAATGTCGAGTTGGTGTGCTTTTTTGGTTTGCAAGCAATTCTTTAAGCAGACATCATCAAAATGCATACTGCAGTATGGCAGGTTTTCCTTCATTCCTTTTCATGAAGTACAAGACGATAGAGAAAACAAGATAATTTCATTTAAAAAAAGACTACACTGCACCACAATTTAATGCCATTGTAAACTATCATTTTAAACTGAAGTGTATTGGACAAATTAGAGAATGCTAATTCTAAAGATATTAAAAACTGCAAAAAATAAATAAAAAATGCTTTGACATGTGGCTAGTGGTACCAAGGCCATGGGTTCGAGTCCCAGGGAATCTATGAACTGATAAAATGTATCCCTTAAATGCAATATAAGTGGCTTTGGATAAAAGTGTCTGCCTAGTGCACACATGTACACTACCAGTCAAAGGTTTGGAATAATTAAGATTTAATTATTTTTTCTGCTCACCAAGGCTGCATTTATTTGATCAATTACGATTTAAAATATATATTTTTTTCTATTTTAATATTTTTGAAAATGTAATTTATTCTTGTGAGGGCAACCTATCCATCAGAAATCATTCTAGTATTCTGATTTAGTGCTCAGTCATCATTAATTATTATTTGCTAAAATATTAACATTGGATATCAATGTTGAAAATGTTTTTGCTGCTTAATATTTTTGTGAAAACAGTGATACGTTCTTTGATGAATGAAAGTTCAAAAGTTCAGCATTTATTTGAAATAGAAATCTTTTGTAACATTACAAATGTCTTTACTATCACTTTTGATCAATTTAATGCATTGTTGCTGAATAAAGGCATGGCTTTAGTTTAATTAAATAATTTATTTCTTTCTTTTAAATCTTACTTACCCCAAACTCGTTTTTTTTTAACATTGATAACAATCAGAAATATTTCTTGAGCAGCAAATCAGCATATTAGAATGATTTCTGAAGGATCACGTGACACTGAAGACTGGAGCAATGATGCTTAAAATTCAGCTTTGATTATGCAATTTTGCAATTATGCAATTTATTGACACAGGTACAAATTACATTTTTTTATATATTCAAATAGTAATAATATTACTATTACTTATTACTGTTTTATTTGTATTTTTTGATCAAATAAATGCAGCCTAGGACTTTTTTTCAAAAACATTGAAAAACATCATTATTCCAAACTTTTGACAGGTAGTGTAAACAGATCATTTTATTCATAAAGAGCATCATTAGAATGGGGACCATGTCATTGGGAATGTTGGTCGTTTTAACTGTGAAACCTGTTCAAATGTTAAAGAATGATTAATAGGGCTGGGTAAAAAAAATATATATATTGATTTCTCGATTTTTGTTAATTTCTCAATTTTACAAAACGATATTGATTCTTAAATCCCAAGAATAGATTAGTCTAGCCCAGTGGTTCTCAATTCCAGTCCTCGCGTACCACCGCTTTGCACATTTTTTATGTATCTCTTCAGATGTTTGTTTTATTCGACCGTAAGTGCCCTGCGAAGTGGACATCACCGGATATTCCGCCATGATTCCAGTTCAAAGGGAACGTAGTTCCATTCAAAGGGCATTAAAGTGTGCGAGATGTGAATTTAAATTGTATATAATTTACAGAGGTATATCATGTCACACTTCTCTAGTAAGTTTCATCTGTGACACTGCAGGCTGTTGCGTAGGGCAAATCTGTGAATGAATGTTTGAAGTGAAGTAAACATCAATGGATTTCCTGTGCTCAAGGAGTAGGGAGCACTGAGAACACTGTGTAGGGACCCTGTCAATCGGAACACAGTTTATGCATGGAGCTCTCTTCTAACAAGCTGGTTATCTGAATCAGCTGTGTTAAAGGGGTCATGAACTGAGAAATCAAAATTCCCTCGATCTTGTGACATATAAGAGCTCATCGTACTATAAAGACATCCTGTAAGTTTCAGAACTCAAAACTTTCTTGTTAGTCTAAAAACTGCTTATATTGATGCCAATCTGCCAAAACGACAAGTTGTTGAATGTGCCGCTTTATGACGTAATAGTGTGGCTAAACCCCGCCTCCGCAGAAGATCATCAACGCCTGCGACTGCCTATTTAGCTCCGCCCACCGATTCACGCATGTAGTGTAAATAACGAGAGAGGCAAACGCAGGGCTACACAGAAACCAAACGATAAAGATGCTCCGAAGACAACAAGACGCTGTTCAGTGCCAAGTTGTGGACAAACACAGTCTTTGCATCGCCTTCCTTCTGATCCCAACATTAAGAAAGAGTGGATGAACTTTATTTTTAATGAAGTTCCAGACTGCGTCAGTAAGAACTTGGTCCTTTGTTCACTTCATTTTACCGCGGATTAGTTTACAAAGAAAGAACAATTCAACACAGGATTTTCAGAAAGATTGAAACTAAAAGACGATGCTGTGCTGAATATATTGGATCTGACAGTAATGTCGCACCACACAAGTGTGAGTAACTTTTTATTACGTGATCAATATTGTTATTACAGATTGTTTGAAATGTACTGAGTATTGATGCGTTTTTAACCTAAATCACAGCAGCTTCCATTTATGAAAAAACTGCTAAACTGTTAGCCAATCACAGCAGTGGGCATTTACTTCTGAGTCTACAATCCGCCACACCTATTCAAACAGAGCGTTCAGATGAGGGGGTCAAAACAGGACAGAAAATAGCCCATTACTTCTAAATGATGATGTTTTTGATGTAAAAATTTTGATAACATTATAAGTAGACCTCAGAGAACAGTACAAAATAATAAAAAAAGGCAGTTCATGTCCCCTTTAAATAAGAGAGACATGCAAAATATGCTAAGCGGTGGTACGTGAGGACTGGAATTGAGAACCACTGGTCACTGGCGTGTTTTCAGTTAAAGGATTAGTTCACTTTCAGAATAAAAATTTCCTGAAAATGTAATTACACCCACGTCATCCAAGATGTTCATGTCTTTCTTTCTTCAGTCACAAAGAAATTAAGGTTTTTGAGGAAAACATCCCAGGATTTTTCTCCATATAATGGACTTCAATGGGGACAAACGGGTTGAAGGTCCAAATTGCAGTTTCAGTGCAGCTTCAAAGGGCTCTACACGATCCCAGCCGAGGAATACGGGTCTTATGTAGAGAAACAATCAGTCAGTTTCTTAAAATAAAAATGTATAGTTTTTAAACCACAAATGCTTGTCTTGCACTAGATGGACTTCATGCATTACGCAATCACGTTGGAAAGGTCACGTGTGATGGAGGCGGAAGCACCAACCCAGTGTTTACAAAGTGAACGTGCAAAGAAAGTCAAACGCCCTTTACAAAAAAATGGTAAAACAGTGATGTCGGACAATTTTGAAGTTGGAGGAGAAAATGAGATGGAGTTTTTCGCCCAACCCTACCTTTCTGAACTGGAGTACACAGACGAAGAGCTAACCGCGCGTGACCTTTCCAACGTGATTACATAATGCGTGAAGTCGAGCTAGTGCAAGACGTGCATATGTGGTTAAAAAGTATATACATTTTTATTTTTATTTTTTTAGAAAATGGCTGATCGTTTTGCTAGATAAGACCCTTACTCCTCGGCTGGGATCGTGTCGAGCCCTTTGAAGCTGCACTGAAACTGCAATTTGGACCTTCAACCCGTTGGCCACCATTGAAGTCCATTATATCCCGGAATGTTTTCCTCAAAAACCTTAATTTCTTCGTAGACAGAAAGACATGAACATCTTGGATGACATTGGGGTAAATTATCAGTGAATTTTTATTCTGGAAGTGAACTAATCCTTTAATGAACGGAACATTTATACTAGCGTGCCTCCCATCCAGTAAATCACAATAAGCTTTGTGCTTTGTTACTGAAATTAACAAAGATTTCAAATTCTGCCCATTTTATTACAATATTCAAACGCTAAATATCATTTTGGTGCTGTTTAATTTAGAGTGACAGATCGCTGTCCAGTTTGCAGCCAGAAATAAACATGAATGAACATCTGAAGGTATGTTAAAAGAAAGAGTACAACTTACCAAAATCCGTTTCCTGTCTCATGTAATCACTCAATCTGTGTTTCAACCGCACAAAGACGTCAATATAACAGCTTGTAAACAATGTCATGTAACGTCACATTTACCTCAGAAAAAAACATATTCGGTGACAATACGCTCGTTAGTCAGATAGAAAAATTAACTGTAGAGTGGAGCATTTTGCTAAATATATGCACCATATAACATATTCATTATAATTTTTACTGTTCTTCAATGTTTAATTTATGTTTGAATAAATATATCAAGTTTTTATGAAAGCCACCATTTAAATGTTTATATTTCAAAAAAGGAATTGGAGTATATATAATTATGTATAATAATGTATTATGAAACTTTCTTTTATAAAAACTTAATTGAGTGTAATTTAAGCGTTTGTATACAAATCAGTTAATTTGAACCTCCAATATTATAGAAATTGAGTACAAACTGACTGCTGTATATTTTACAGCATTAGTTGAGATTTTTTTTTCCTTGAGAAAATTTGGCATGTACTGTACCTGATATATATCCAAAATAACTGATATTGAATCAGATCGAATGGAATCGAATCGCAAGCTTGTGAATCAGACTTGAATCAAATCGTGAAATTTGTGCCAAAATCCAGCCCTATTAAGTAACCTCTCCACCTCCTCCCTGCCTCTTAGGTAACAGAGATGAACGAGGCCCTTTCCAACGAGGAGAGGAACCTGCTCTCTGTGGCCTACAAGAACGTGGTGGGCGCGCGCCGTTCCGCCTGGCGCGTCATCTCCAGCATCGAGCAGAAGACCTCCGCTGACGGCAACGAGAAGAAAATCGAGATGGTCCGCGCTTACCGTGAGAAAATCGAGAAGGAGCTGGAGGCCGTGTGCCAAGACGTACTCAACCTCCTCGACAACTTCCTGATCAAGAACTGCAGCGACACCCAGCACGAGAGCAAAGTCTTCTTCCTGAAGATGAAGGGCGACTACTACCGTTACCTGGCGGAGGTGGCCACGGGCGAAAAGAAAGCCACGGTGGTGGAGTCTTCTGAGAAGTCTTACAGCGAGGCCCATGAGATCAGCAAAGAGCACATGCAGCCTACACACCCCATCCGCCTGGGCCTGGCGCTCAATTACTCGGTCTTCTACTACGAGATCCAGAACGCACCCGAGCAGGCCTGCCATCTGGCCAAGACGGCTTTCGACGACGCTATAGCTGAACTGGACACCCTGAACGAGGACTCCTACAAAGACTCCACGCTCATCATGCAGCTCCTGCGAGATAACTTGACGCTCTGGACGAGCGATCAACAAGACGACGAGGGAGGCGAAGGCAACAATTAAACATTGAAGAAAAGAGAAGATCTTTGAGACCCTTTTCCTCTCAGCCGTAACATAAAACACGCGTGCTCACACAACAAAGAAAAACAAAACAAGTATGTTACATGAAAAAATTCACAAAAGGGGGCATGATGGAACTGTGTCAGCCATGTTTGCTGATTGCAAAGCAGCGCAGTTTTCTTTATTATCCACAAAATTACAATTGAGAGAAATATGCTAGTTATAAAGAACGGTATGTCTCAAAAAAATTTAAGAAGTAGCTTAAAAATAATAAATTAAACCTCTCTTTCTGGGACGTTTACTTGACACTTTGAGGAAGAAGCTTGTCAGTACATCAGTCGTTTCTAAATGGCTGAAGGGTTACGCTAAACCCACTGGTATAGGTACTGTTATTGTAGTGAAATACGAAGTGGAGCTGCTTATATTCATTTACATTGTGAGTAAAGAGTACTTTAAAGCGACAAGGGTGGGCTTAACTGACAAAAAAAATCTTTAAGTGAAAACTTGAATGTTCTCGCCTCGCAGGTATTTGCAAACAGGCTGCACTGGACGTAAACGGTCATGTTTTTGTCTGATATACGTTCATAGGGATTCTGAATGGCACCCACTAATGTTTACGTCAAACTGGTTATCTGTGCCATTGATGATACACATCATTAGTATGCATCTCACATCGGAACTACACAAAACTACTGTATTACAGTAATGTTGATTAGGTTTTCAAAAATAACAGTTATGACTTCCCTAGTACATGTATTGCCTTTTCAATCCAAAGCTAAAACCGTTTTCTAATCGTTATTGTTATCATTATTATTATGGACACCGTTTAAAAAAATCACCAAGCCTGACCCACATTGTACAAGAAAATGAGATTTGATTTTAAAGCACAGAAGAGTAGTTCTAAACATTATCGATTAAAAAAAAAAAAGACGGTACAGGCAAGAAATAAAATTTTACAAAAAGAAAGAAAAAACTAAACTGTCCAATGCTTAGCAGAAAAGCAATGCCTAATCACTTGGTTTGATACACTCAATTAATATTACTGGTACCATAGACTATTTTTTGTTATTCAATTAATTTATTGAGTTTTTGACAGTGCACTGGCATAAAATTGCTTTGGTTCTTTTTTTTTTTTATTCTCATGAAATGCACTTGCCTATTATACTGTTTCTCAGTGTAGGACGATTACAGCTCCAATATTCTTGATAATACAATATTGTGCATGCTGGTGATGTATTTATATACCATAGCTCGACTTTATTAACTTTAAAAACTGTAGATGTTATGTATTCATATGAACACGAAATGACAAGAATTTAATCTGATTATTTTCTATTTATTACTTTCTATTGGATTGTTTCAATCGGTTATGATTTTTTTCCTTATATATTTTTTGCTTGCTGAAGTATGCTATACCAAAACAGTGCGTGTTTACCATGAATTAATCTGTTATGGATGTTGCTCTAGTGACATGCGATTCTTGTATTTGGTTTTTAATAAACAAAAAAGGAAGTGAAAAGACAAAAAAAAAAAGAGAAAACGCCATTTCTGGTGTTTTTTGTCACAGTAAATTATGATTATATTGTGAAACGATTAATGTTGTTCTTAAAATTCCTTTTCTGTGCTTTCTTCGGTCAAATTCTACTGTGAGATATTGCTGTAATAACAGTGTTTGTTTTTTTCCTCCTCAGAATCTGTTTCTGTTGGAACATTACCTATTCTTATGATTTCTGTTTTCTTTCTTTTTCCTCGTCTAATGGTATAAATGTAAGTCAAGTAGCGGTTGCACAAAAGAAACATAATGATAATAATAATGATAATTAAAAAAATAAAACATGACTGTGCTCTTCTAACCACCATTTCCGTGCTGTCTAGTACGTGACTGAGTCATTTCCTGTTGACCTCATCAGAGAAAACATGATGTACTATTATTAATAAGTGCAAGTCCAATGGCACTAGTAGTCAGATAATAGTGAACAACATTGTTTGAGCTCATGTTTCCCCTCCCATTCGGTGCCATCCCGTGCCATCTCCTAGATGACTGAAGGCTGTCTCTGCTAATGCTTTGCTTAATGCTAGCATCTGCCACACAGTTAGAGCCAACAGATCTGCTTTATTTTAAAGTTAATTCGGGTGAAGCTGGTATTCTTTAAAGGGATAGTTTACCCAAAAATACAGTCAACATCAAGTTCTTCCAAACCTGTATGAATTTCTTTCATCTGCTGAACACAAAAGATGATATGTTGAAGAATGTGGGTAACCGTACGGTTTCTGGTCCCCACTGACTTCCATAGTATTTTTTTCATACTATGGAAGTCAATGGGGACCACTAACTGTTTGGTTACCAACATTCTTCAAAATATCTTTTGAAAATGTAAAACAAAAATGCATTTTTCATTGAATTATCCCTTTAACCTCATCTTTTCCAAAGGTATTGATAAGATGGGTATAGAGAGAGTGAGATAATCACTTTTGTAATGTTATAGGGTTGCAATGGGGCCGAAATTTTTTGGAAACTTTACAGGATTTTTAGGAAACTTATGGAAATTTCTGGAAAGTTTCCAGAAATTTTCCGCCCCTTTGCAACCATAAATGTTCATATTCATTAAGCGTGCTAATGAAAGCTATGACTCTATAAAAGAGAGCGTTTATACGATGTCATTTTCAACTAAAAACTGACTTTTTATGCGTTTTGGTCGTTCATTTACATGACAATGGCATTTTGGAGGCCTGAAAATGCAAACTATTGAAAACGGGTTTCAAATTGCATATTTTTTGGAAACAATACCATTAGCAACTCTGTGGAAATTATAAAAATGTGAATAAGTGAAAACAGTGACACGCATGCATATTTCGTGTTCAGTCTATAGGCACGTGCTAGTTTCTTTACAAAGTGACACTGCCAACGACTGGCCTGGCATGCAAAATACAGTGTTTTTAGTCGTTTTTGAGGACCTGTATGAATGCGGATCATTTTGTCATCTGTATGCAAAACTTTTCAAAAATGCAAAGGAAAAACCTTTCCGTTTTGTTCATTAATATGGATGGTACACCAGTTCGAATATGCTAATGATACACTAATTAAACGCATTCTTTTTAAAAATTTGACGTTTACTCAAAGTGACTGAATGGCAAAAATTATTAGTACTTACATAAATACGTAACAGCTTGATACTGCAAAAAATTACCAATGTTTCATAGGCAAATACTAATAAAATGGTGCCCTTGTGCTCCAGGATAGCTGTATACCAAGTATAAGCCACAAACTCCAGTCCAAAGTCAAGTAGGCAATCTGCCTGAGTACACTCTTAAAAATAAAGGTGCTTCAAAAGGTTCTTCAAGCGATGCCATAGAAGAACCATTTTTGGTTCCACAAAGAACCATTCAGTCAAAGGTTCTTTAAAGAACCATCTCTTTCTTACCTTTTTATAATCTGAAGAACCTTCTTTCGCCACAAAGAACCTTTTGTGAAACAGAAAGGTTCTTCAGATGTTAAAGGTTCTTTATGGAACCATTTAGACAAAAAGGTTCTTCTATGGCATCGTGAAGCACCTTTATTTTTAAGAGTGTAAGATGGAGTCAGTAGGGCAGACAAAGGCACGTTGAACTGATTCCTACAGCACAAGCAAATATTGATTCAGTGAGGGGTTGATGAGTTTGTGTGAACATTATACCATCAGGCAAAGAGAATGGGAAATCAATGATTACAAACAAAAGACGCAAGGCCAGCGAGTCTGGCAAAGCCTGTCAGTAGCAAGAGGATGCCTGATCACTTTTGTCCAAACCCCATTACTAATCATAATATGATCTGGAAGACCAATCTTTTTGCATAGACCTTGCACTTATGAAACAATTTCTTGCACACTTTATTCAATGTAATTAGTGATTGAAGAATAAATAGTAAAAAGTTGCAGCTAATGATCAGCTACTACTGAGTGTCCCTGCTTACGCTTGAAAACAGACTTCATTTTCTTTATGCAATTATTTGTTTATTTTCTTTTGATTTTGTGAGATTCACCCATTAGTTTCTGACAGGAAGGTATATGGATAAACACTATTTCAATCCATAATAATTTTTGTCTAAATTACTAATCATGTTTTTTTGTATGTTACAGAAGTACTAGGGTAATAGTAGTTCAAATCCAAACACATTGACGATAACGATAGTGTAAAACACTATGAGTAAATCACCTTTGAATACAACCGATTTATTCAAAAACAATGATTCATTCAAAAACGATGACCGAGTCATTGAATCATTCAACCGATTCACTTCACTCAAATTAACCATTATTCGTATTTAAAAACTTTAACACATCAATACTGTCATTCTCCTAGAGGCATATAATGTCTAGCCTAATTTATCTATAAGTAGGTCAGGGAAACTACCTTAAAATCTTGTACAATAAATATATACATTAAAGCATAACATTTACATTTTTTGGACTTCCTTTATCCCACATACGCCAATGAATCCCACCTGACGAACTCTAATAAAACTTACCATCGATTTCAGAGTGCTGTATCCCCAAAGAACACATTCAAACCGACCTCAGGGGACAGGGAATGAATTAACATTTACAGAGGAACTACGCCATTTTTTGTGTAGTGCGATTGTTTTTGCTGCACTAACTATAGTTTAACCATGGTATTTGTAGTAAAACTATGGTTACACACATGGTAATCAATACGCCAAAAAACATGGTACTGCACTTTTACTATAATAAAACCATGGTTATTTTTTGTAAGGGAAAGCTGCTATGTTAAAAAAAAAATCTCATTGTTATTATACACAGAAGAATCCATTGCAGAGGGATTCACAATCTCATGGCCAATGGTTTCTCTTCTGTCTCTTGAACAAGTAAAATCTCAGTTTGTCCTACTGTAGGTGAATAAAATAGCATGACTAATGCATGAAAGCATTAAATTCTTTTAACCATTGTTTAAAAACCAAGAAAATCCTAAGCATGTGCTGCCGAATTCCCAAAATGCAACTTTGCCTTCATTCTCCTATTTCTGATTAGGTTTGTGATGTGGACTAATTATTAGATAAACAGCAGAACTTCAAACAAATCCTGAAACATGTTCTGAAGTCAAGCTTAAAGTCATGTATTTGCCAGCTTGCACTACAGAACCATCTTGTACAATGTTGAAATAGGTTCCTTATTGCATAGTTTCCATAAAGCATCCCTCAAATGTGCATGTGCTGAAATATTGCCAGTTGTTAATCCATAAGAGTTAGAGTTTAATCAGATCTAGCACTCAGTCCTTTTACATTTCTTTTTATGTTCTCCTTTGGCCAATTCACAGTGCTCTCTCTGTATTTAATATAATAGATAAATTGCACCCCAATTGGCTTTTATAACATTTTGGCAGTCGTATCAATATTATTGAAGTGAGAGTTAGTGAGACGGAGTCTTGGGAGAGCTGGCCTACTTTAGCGTTTCAGCTGACAGTGTGCATGCGCGCGCATCTGTGGTTCCTCCAATCAAACCCTCGGCTCATATCACTACAGTGAAGACTGGACTGTTCTCTGGCTCGGAAAAGGACAGCTGGTAAAATAAGGAATGGATGGATGCAAAGATGAAAGAGGCAATATATGGGAAAAAGATCAAGCTTTGCAGAAGAACAGTGCAGTGAAACATACAGAGCAAATAATGGCTTTGGTTTTGGTTTCTTGACACTTCACCCATCTGGAGTTAGTTGGACAATCAATTTCCTTCAATCTCATGCCATTGGTTTATGTCAATGTTGCTATGTCAGGCCACTTAAACTAGGAATATATTTAAATTGCCAGAGTGTTTACACAAGGAAGAGGTCACAGTTGTTTATGCATATAAAGCTGGAATATGAGCATTTTAACATCAACTTAAATTCATCTAGACTATACAGCCTAAAACTCATCAAGATGCACATACTGTACATTTTTGTGCATTCATATTTGTAGTGCACCTATCCAAACGGGGAAAACTTCATTGCTTTTATAACGCATTATCATTTTAATACACAAAATGAACATGAAATGCATGACAGTTGGTAAATCTAAAATTACATAATGATCACAGCGCATTGCGCTTTCACGACTACACTATGAAATGCATTATGCATGAAACATTTAAAACAATGTCTATTACTTATTAAAGGGGGTTCTACCAGATTCTATCTCATCGCTGCTATTTTAAGGCACCTCTTACAGTTACAGTCAATAACCATATTGATTTTATGTTTCAATTCATGAAAGATATGATAAAATTGTTTCTGTTGTGTGAGAGAGATGACTTAGCATTTCACTTCTGTCATAAGCAAGTCCAGTCAGAATGTGCATGTTTATCTGATTTTGAAGGGACATTCTTGGAATTCTTCAAAACTGGTCAAATGTGGTAACATGGAATAATAAATAATTGTGATCAGACACATAAACGCCAGATAATACAGACTGGAGATGTTTATTACCATTTCTACCATGAGGATATTCAGACATACAGCTCATGATGGGAAAGCCTTTATTACAGTCATTTAAAACATTATGTAATGCCTCATAATACAAAAAACAAAGAGTCCCTGCTGTTCTACTGGCTGAGACGACTGATGTGAGGAAACCATATTGTTATGCTTCCTGCAGTTAAACAGCATGGTGATATCTGTTTGATAAAGTCAAAATTAAACTTTTTTTTTTCAGGTTATCCTTCATTTTATCCATCAGGAATTGATGTGATGGTGAAAAGTTTCATGTAAGAATGAAAACAGATTGATTTGAAAAAGGCTGCAATGTTGTAACCTAAAACAATGGCTAAAAAGCTACAGTATTCGACTGCTGGTCAACATTAACTAATAGCTAACCTGGACGAGGTGACATAAGCAGGAAAAAAAAGTTTCAGGCAGAGTAACGTATTACATTTTGATGAAATATTATGAAAACAAACATCATTTTACTGTGTTTGGCTGCATGTTTGCTAGTGGTTAAAAAAATGGTGTAAAAACTGTAGTTCCTGCTCCTGAAGAAATGTCATAGTCATAATTCACCTCAAAATCAAAAGGAAAAAATAGCAATTTTTTTGCTTACAGACCATCCATATGTTAGAACAGTTTGAATTGTGACATTATGTTCAGTTCTTACATTACTGTAATGCAAAAACATCACATTCTCACTGAATAAAATCAATCTCTCCAGACAATATTTAAAAATACATACAGTATAATTAAATTCTGTAAAACACATGCTATATGCAAAATTATATTTTAACATGTTCTTTAACTTGTAAATAATACTTTTTTTTAATTACAATAATGAGAATTTGGGGTAAAATGTTTCATTGTCATGAAAATTATGTTGCAATGCAAATATAATTTTGCATTTAATCTTTTTGATTTAGGGGTGAAATATGAGCATGTTTTCTAGAGATTGGTGTGTACACAGTGGTTGTGATTTACTACAAGTAGAAGAGAGGAGGATGAGAAAGGAGACAAGGATGAAAAGGAGTGATGTAAAAAATGAGATGGGAATGCACTATGGGAATCCATCCTCTCATACCTGTAGTTTACAAAGACTAGAAGTTGCAAGACATTAAAATGGAATTTGCTTTTGTGAACAAGCTCAAAGTACCGTTGTGATCTGCCTGTCTGTCTGTCTGTGTGTGTGTGTGTGTGTGTGTGTGTGTGTGTGTGTGTGTGTGTGTGTGTCGTAGTGCTCAGGGCTTCTTTGTCGTGCTAGCAGTCACTGCGCTGCCTGTGTTAACAGGGATGTTGATTTCAGAGCCCAGGATGGCAGGTTTGGGCAGAGGAGCTTCAATGGTCAGGACGCCCTCAGGAGACAGAGAGGAGGTGATCTTCTCAGAGTCCACACCAGAGGGCAGACTGGAACACAAGACAATCAGATTACATTCATGAAATCACAGCTCCAGACAAAAGGTCGTCTTTAGACAAGCATCACATCAAATTTTAAATCTATATGACTTATCTAGAGAATATTTTCTATTATATTTGTCCTATTTATTTCATTAGGTCTAAAACTACTACACTAAAATGAAGTTACTTAAGTTATTGGAGTATGTTTTACAATTAAAAAAAAAAAACTATTCCAGTTTTTCTTCTTTAAAATTTCAAGATTAATTAAATGTGTTACTTGCAATTTTGTTGTAATTGTGAAATTTGCTAACAATTTATCTGAGTGAAATTTGTTTCTAAACCTAATTTTGTCATTAAAGTATCTGAAATAACAAATTTTGCAATGAATGCAAAAATGCCATTAAGACATTTTGCAATGAAATGCTATTTCAGTTTTTCTACTTTCCTTGTTTAATTCAATGTGTTGCTCACCTTTTCTTTGTAATTGTGAAACTTAGTAGCAATTTTACAGTGTACTTTTTCATTGAAGTATCTGCCATACACTCATGAAAAAATGCAATTAAGAAGATTTTAAAAATGCATTTCAAAGCTCTTGAAACTCAAGAGAAATTAACACAAAATATGACCAGAGGTCCACAGACAGTTTCAGTTCTTTTAAAAACAGATGTGAAATAGTATGCAACGTGATGCATGATTCATTGCCAAACCCGTCCCACCCCTTTAGTATTCTCAGGACACTGTGTCTCTTGATCCTCCCTATCAAGTGTGCTTCGTGTGCAGATCTTTAGCATCTCAGTACTTACGTGTATTTCCTGGTAAAACATCTGGACACAAAGCCATGTTCATCCTTCCTCTCCTCATGTTTGCCTGTAAGCAAATCACATGGAAAAGAAAAAAAAAACACACAAATGAATTATCTTTAAACTCCCTCAGATTCTTCAAAACAGCAATGACTGAATTAAAATTTCTCCAACATTAGATAGAATGATCTAAGCTGCTATCCACATATATACTCTTACTGTGTACCAGCAGCTATCTCAGTTGTCTATTTGTATTTATTAGAAACCACACGTATTTATAAGTTTTTATAACTATAAGCAAAAAGAGGATGTTGCATACAAAATGTTTATACTTGAATGGCACAAAGCTGAGAACTTAAGTCTCTGGCCTCTGCATTCTGCACATGCTGCTTTAACTGCATTGTGCTCTGGTTATGTAATATCTCAGAAATTTCTCGGGAAAATCAGCTCCCACCCTACAGAAGATACAAGTTCTCTCAGCAAAGCCTGTTATTCAGCAGCCTTTTTTGTTTTTTTACTTCACACTTGACCACCTCTCTTCCTTTGGGAAGCCTACTTCTTCCACAAAAAGAAAAAAACATGCTTTGGTATACCATAATTATGACAGAAAATGTCAAATTATGAGACACAAAGTCATAGTTATCAGATAAAAGGTTAAAATATTGACACAAGAAATTATGAGATACTAAGTCATAATTATGAGATAAAAAATTAAATTCTAACAAAGTGTCAAGATGACGACAAGTCATAATTATGAGACAAAAAGTTGAAATTATGAGATAAAAAGTCATAATTGATACAAAAAGTCCAAATTATGAGATACTAAGTCATAATTATGAGATAAAAAAGTAAATTCTAACAAAGAATCAAGATGATAAGTCATAATTATGAGACAAAAAGTTGAAATTATGAGATAAAAAGTCATAATTGATACAAAAAGTCCAAATTATGAGATACTAAGTCATAATTATGAGATAAAAAAGTAAATTCTAACAAATAGTCAAGATGATGACGTCATAATTATGAGACAAAAAGTTGAAATTATGAGATAAAAAGTCATAATTGATGCAAAAAGTCCAAATTATGAGATACTAAGTCATAATTATGAGATAAAAAATTGATACAAAAAGTCAAAATTATGAGATACTAAGTCATAATTATGAGATAAAAAAGTAAATTCTAACAAAGAGTCAAGATGATGTCATAATTATGAGACAAAAAGTTTAAATTATGAGATAAAAAGTCAGAATTGATACAAAAAGTCCAAATTATGGGATACTGAGTCATAATTATGAGATAAAAATAATTATAATAAAAGTCAAAGTGATAATAAGTCATAATTATGAGATAAAAAGACAATTATAATAAGTCAAAGTGATACTAAGTCATAATTATGAGATAAAACTCAATTATGACAAAATGATATGAGACACAAAGTCATAATTTTGAAAGTTGAAATTCTGACATTAAAAAGTCAAAATTATGAGATATTAAATCATGAGATAAAAAACTAAATTATTACATAAAAGATGAAATTATGACAATATACTAAGTCATAATTATGACATAAAAGTTAATAATTATAACAGTCAAATTATATGTCATAATTAGTTTTATCTCGTAGTATTGACTTCTTTTGTCATTGATTTTATCATAATTTTATATATATATATATATATATATATATATATATATATATCTCTTTATTACAAAAGATTTTTATTTCAATTAAATTCTGTTCAAATAAACTTTGTTCATCAAAATTTTGTTATGTCATAATTATGATTTTTTTTCTTAATGTAGCAGAAATGGGCTTCCATACCTCCTGGACATTTCCTGCCAAAACAACTAAACAAATCAGATCTAATTTCCTTCCTGAAAGTAAAATATGAACCTTTACAGTTGTTTTCACACACTACAGTTCCCACAAAAAGCATCTGGACACACAACATGTCTGAATATTATTCGTTATATACTGTAGAGGAGATCTTCTTTCCTCACTAGAGTTCACTTTTCTGCATCACGTTTGAATTCTCAATGTGTTTGAATCAGCTGGTGTTTTGGTGATTTTTAGTGGATGTATGAATCAGTTCACACAGGTGTAAAGAATCACATTAACTAGCAACATCATCCACTAACTAACACAATACTGACCGTCTTCAACACTACATCTATTGCTATTGCATCTATGTCAAACCGAACAAGCTTATTTTTGTGAAATGCATCTTTCTCTACAATAAATAACTCTTGCTTTCTTCACTCTTGGATCTAATGCAATGACATTCAGACATTTGTAAGGGTGTCTTCAGTGTTCAAATACTTTTTGAGACACTCTTCTTGGGCTAAATTGTGAAATTATGAAGCAAAGTGCTCACCGGTGATCTCCACCACCCCATCTTTGGTTTTCACCGTCAGCTCCTCTGGGGCAAAGTGATTGACATCCAGGCTGATTTTCCAGGCATCCGGCGTCTGCTTTATCTCAGACATTCCTGAGCTCATCTGTCGGGACAGGGCCCGGCTGTAGTTCGGGGGGTGCATCATGGTCACAGAGGGCGACATCGGAGCCATTGGGCTCTGCATTAAAGGGGACATTTCGGGAAATCCAAAGGGCCGAATGTATCCGGGCCAGTGTGTGGTGGGGAAAGTGGGCATCTCCTCAGAGAAGGGCGGCATCCCGAAAGCTTGATCGAAGACCCGGCTGCCCTGGTACCAGTCGCGGAAAGGGTCCCAGGATGGGCTGTGCATGAAGCTGAAGGGAATGCGTCTCTCGGCCATGGCTGAAGTTTGTTCTTGCTCTGAAAGTTTTCTGGAAAGTGCTGTGTCCTGTTTGGAAGTGCTGAGATTTATAAGAACGTTCTCAGTCGACACTCCCCTTTCCACACTAATGCAACCCCCTCCCATCCAGATATTTATAGAAGTGACTAGAATGTCTATTCACGGACGGCCTCGCACGAGAATGGAATCCAAGGCAAAGGCCTTCCCAAAGCCGGCACCGTTCCTTTCCTGGATGGTTGAACCTGCCTGACTGTCTCACAAACACATTCTCTTGTCATGACACAGACGCAGAGGAATCTGGTGATCAGTGTAAAGCGCACAGAGCGAGTCAGCAGAAACCCACCCCTCTGATAACACAAAGGTGACCAAACACACATGCACTGATTTACAGAATGAATTCGATGAATCTGCACAGAGAACACAAAACAGAGGAAATAAAGTACAGGCAAGCAGGGTTACACTGGGAAAAAAATAATAATAATTGGTGTAGGATTTATTTTTCACTCAATTTTTACTTTTAACTCTGAATTTTCTAGTAATTTCACAAATAATTACTAAGAAACATCAATTAACACACTGAATTAAAAGTGAAACTTTGAAGTAGAAAGACTGAAATAATAATAATAGTAATAAATCATTTTCTTGTAAAATGTAATTTTTGGTTTAATGTAATAACAAAAATAACAACATTTATTTTATTTCAGCAAATTTCTATTTTTTTTTAGTTTAACTTAAACTAGTAAAATACCTAAAACGAAAATACATTTAAAAAATGATTAAAAATACAAGACATTAAAAAGTTAAACAAACAACAACATGATTAAAACTTTAATTACAATTAAAATTAACACACAAAATATAAAACTAAAAACTACCTTAAAATATTAATAAAAGCTGTAATAGTATATAATAAAATAACACTGCAGACAAACAGGGAAACATACTGTAAAAATCAAACAAATGTAGAAAAGCTAGAAAAAAATGACTTATTTTGTTTTGTCATTTTACTGAAATAAAATTAAGCTAGTTGCCAAAGCAACATTTCTCATTTTCATTTAGTTTTACTTCATGTAGTAAAATAAATACAACTAAATAAATTAAAGCTAAATAAAATGAATAAAAACTATATAGATATATTTTTAAAAACGAATACAATTGACAAAAACAACATAATTACTAAACTAAAATTAAAGTGGAAAAAAAAATCGAATTAAAAATATTAACAAAAACTATATCAGAATATCAATGATACTGAAATAACAAAGGGAGGTTTTATTAGATTTATATGATTTCTCTGACAATATCATCACATCTTCATGAACTATATCATATATTAAAGTGAAATATAGAGTTATGATGCATGTGTATCAAATGTTTCATTAAACCCTCCAACAGTGTTGCAGCGCTTTCATTTCTGCATTAAACTCAGACTGTAAATCTCCTGACTGCATGAACACCTCAGTGTCACAGTACATGAGCGTGCTTTCATTCCTGCATCGTGTACGACGCATCGCAAAAAATGCATTCCTGGAGGCCAAACAGTAGGGAGTTAGCAACGCCAGGGTCATGGGTTCGATTCCCAGGAAATGCATGAACTAAACTATAAAGTGTAAACCTTTAATGCACTGCAAGTCGCTTTGGATGAAAGTGTCTGTTAAATACATTCATGTAAGTACACCGATTGCACAGATTGTTTCAGATTGCAATAAGATACAAGAAACTATGAAAATATACAGTAATAAAGATGGACTGACAATACAATATCTGCAGCTAGATATAAAGATATCAAGATTAATAAATAGCTAAAAAATAACACAAATTTTCAATAAAATGAATTCATTTCAACACTTTTATCCAAACTTACAAATGGATAAAAGTGGTTTTAGCAGCTTTTATGGAGTTTGAAACGTTCAGTAAATAAAATTCTGGAAGAAACTAATGGAAGGCATTATAGAAATGACTAGAAAATGTAATTTAAGCCACTGGTTTAGCGCCACAGGACTAAAAATACAACTGATCCATTTCCCCAGGTGATCGGCAGGAGTTTGTGAAGGAGCAGGAACCTTCCAGTCTTCCAGACACAAATCCAGATCACATGAGCATCTACTACAGCATCAGTAACGCCATCTAGTGCCGAAGACACTGAAGACTCTCAAACTGCAATTTCTGCAGCATATAGAATGTATAAAAATAGTACAAAATGAACACTGTACGATATGCCATGTGCTAGTATTGCATTCTACAGTAAGCACTAGAAACGTGTTATTTTAGTATTGGTTATACATTATTATAGCTTTTTATTAATGTTTTGAATCAAATGTTATTTTTATATTTTCAGTTTTAATTTTAAGCTGATGTTTTTTTTGTAATTTTGTTATGAGCTGTTGTCATTTGTTTTTTCAGTTTTGTTCTTTTTTTTAAATATTACTATTTAGGATGTTTTTCTTCTTTTTATGCTATTTAGGATACATTTATTTCAGTTTTATTTATTTATTTATACACTATTATAATTGTATTATTATTAATACATTATTATTATTAATCTATTATTATTATTATATTTATTATTATTATTAAAGTTTTTAATTCGTTTTATTTTTATATTTTCAGTTTTAATTTTTTCAGTTTCATTTTTTTTCTTCCTTTATCTTCTTTTTTATACTATTTAGTATAATTTTTTTTATTTAGTTATTTATTTATACACTATTATAGTTGTATTATTAATAATACATTATTATTATTATTATCATGTTTTATTTTTGTTCTTTTTTTAAATATTACTAGTTAGGAATAATTTATTTCTAGTTTTTTAGTATTTATATTTTTAGTTTATTTATTTATTTAATTATTTATACACTATTATAGTTTTTGTTGTTTTGAATTAGCTTTTATTTTTATATTTTCAGTTTTAATTTTAATCAGATTTTTAGTAATTTTTTTATGAGCTGTTGTAATTTTTCTAGTTTTTTTAATACTATTTTGGATTAATTTGCTTTATTTCAGTTTTGTTTTTATTTATTTATACACCATTATAGTTTTTATTAATGTTTTGAATTAGCGTGTATTTCGATATTTTCAGATTAATTTTATGCTAATTTTTTAGTAATTCTGTCATGAGCTTTTTTTTTTTTTTTTCTCGATTTTTTCTTCAATTTTAGTTTTATTTTTTTTTTTCCAATCAGAAATTTTAGTCAACCTAGTTCACAAGGCAACATTTAAAATTTCATAAACTGTTTTAACAGTAGTTTTCAATAATAACCCTGACAAGAAACAAACGGAAACTCAAAATCAAGAACAGCACATGAAGATAATCCATTTGCAGATACTTTTATTATGTGTTTAATTATGACTGGTCACTAAATCTACTGACTTTATACAGTTGGGAAGTGAGAGCCGTATCAACTCATGTGATGAACTCAACAGCTGTTTGTAAATCAAATAAGACTGAAAAAGGAAGACTGAGGTCCTGCATCACAAGGTTAAAGTTCAATGTAGTCCGCTTCCTTTATTAGCTCTTTCCAGACCTCACAGGAAGATTGAGAAAGAAGAAGAAATCACTGATAAAGGCCAGTTCAGTCTCCATTTGAAGGAGGGAATGAGAGAATAAATAGTACAATAAATCATAACAAATATTTGCAAAATGCAAACTCGTAAAACAACAATCAGTCTTCTGCTCGAAAAAATCATTTCACAACAATTCATCTCAGTTCTGCATTTAAGGTCAACATGAAACTCATTTTATTTCCAAAATCGTGATGCATTTCAGAGTGCAACAGCTTTTTAAAGTAGGATTATAGAAAAATGCAAGATAGAAAATGCATCAGGAATTAATTGGACGATGAAGTTTCTCTGTATGGCAGATGCTTGAGAGGTACAATGTATTTTTGAAGTTGTTTCAGGGACGAAAAATCATGAAGAATCTTTGGAATAATGTGCATTGATGAATCATATAAGACCAGAAGCATTAAGAAAGTAAAGCGAATCAATTCTGATTTCATGTTGACTTTAAAGAACGCAGAAGCTTGTCATTGGAAACGGTCAAAAATGTGTTTCCAACGTACTTTGCAAACAGAAAAATGTGCAACTCCTTATAAAAACAGTTTCTCAGAGCCCAAATTAATAAATAACAAAATAAATATGTAACAAATAATAAATAAATAGCATCACAATGAATAAGTCACCGAATAAATATGCTGAAAAAGACATGTGCGTGTATATTTTTGCAGCCTGGTTTCAGGAAAGTGCATCTACATAGAGACGCGAGTTTAAAAACAACAGAGTTCAGATCAGAACTGTACATGGTGCCTATATAACACAGAGCTCTATTTATATGCACTAAACACAGCCAAAATAGAAGTGGAATACTGTATATAATAAGAAATATCACATCTCCAAAATGGACTGGCATTATAGGTGCATCAGATATGGATTTTCCAAAGAGATCGGAGAGTAACGGACTGACACCCAGAAACGCAGCCTCTCCTCTGCATCATGCCAAGCTTTTCCACATACAAAGCCTTTATATAATCCGCTATAGAACTTGGAATATATAGTGCATAGTTTACAGCCAAAACTTGCAGCGTAAATATTCAAATGGAAACATCCTGATATACACTCATTATAATACAACTTTATAAAAAATAAAAAAAAAACATGAGTTTTTTAATTACTAAATGGGTGAATCTCACAAAAACTGTCAGTCATTTTTCAACAACAACAACAAAAATTGCATAATAAAGATTTATTATTATAATGATTATTATTATTATAATACACATTTAAACCACCCAATTCTCAGTAGGCTAATTTATATTAAAAATCTAAAATCTACAAATCTAAAAAGTCATTTTTTATCCCAAAAGAAAAAAAAAATGTGCATAATAAAAAGTAATTGAAGCATGTATTTTTATTATTATATTACTATATTATTTTCAAGATTCAATTAAACACATTTAAACCACCCAACTGTCAGTAGCTTAAATAAAACATTGTATAAATATTTGTTTAAAATTATTAATAATTAAATAAAAATTATTTATATGAAATA